CTGCTGCTTGCCTGGATAGGCTCCAGCTCCCCTGCGACCCTATATTGGATTAAGCAGCTAGAAAATGGGTGGATGATACTGTAGAGTTAATTGAAATTTACATTCTACTCCCATTTTTATTGCAGTTTCTAACAAGTTAGATCAGAATTATAAACCAGTTGTGTAGACAGGATAGCTCTAGTTATCTAAACTTCCAGGTCCAAAATTGGGATATGTATAACTTTTTTCAAAACATATTGATTTATGAAGACCATAAACATCTGTCTCATAATATTTTAATTACTTTTCCAAAGGAAGCCCATAATTGTGATTATTTTGTGACATCTGTGTGGATTATTAGTATTCAGTGGAGAGAAGATGATAAAAAAAATATAAAACCATGTGCCAGAAGTAGAACAGCTGCTCTGTTCTTTGCAACAATCCCATAGGAAAGAGACCCGGGGTGTTTGTCTTATGTCAGAACTATTCATTTGGGTTTAAAGGCAGTCAAAGCTCAATTCCTGGTGTTCAGTTTAGTGTTCAGTTACGTGGTTGCTCTGCTTGATCCATCATCCGAAAGCCTCTTACATCTAGTAAGGGTTCAACACCTGAATTTTTGAGAAGCACAGGGCTCCAGGCAAAAGTGCACCTGCACAAAAAGCCCGTCCATTGCCAAACATGCACATGGGCAAAATAAAAGACATCAGTAAACCTGACCCATGTGTCTCTGGAAGATGGGAGAAAACCTACACATATCTGGGAAGATCATGGAAAGTCCACACTGTGGTCCAGATGAGAGTCAAACCCAGAGCCCAGGAGCTATGATGCAGTTAACTACCATGCCACTATGACACCCCTCCATTACTGAATTAACTGAACAATTTTAATACATCTATTCAGGCTCCAAGGTGTGTTACAGGTTTCCCATTAAGAAAATGGATTTAAGTAATCATCTGTAAAGAATCTGAAGAAAAGTCCTGTATATATCTAAGAAAATAGTAAGGTTAAATGTTTTATTGCCTACTCATTTGGGGGGGGGAAAATACTAAGGCCTCCAGGAACTGAATTTGAGACCGATGTTGTAGAATGAGTTGCAGCTGTGTTGCACAGCTGTTACAGTCATTAACAATGCATAATATTATTTATTATACCTGCGTTGTATGTTGCATGTAAATCGGCTAATATGACTAATTCTCTGATATGTTCATATGCCAAGATGATAAATTAGATATTATTCACACATTTGTTCTCGCAGTTTATTTGTATTTTAGAACTGGAGTAGGCAGTTGTCAACATGGTTTTCTTCCATAACTCCTAAGCCAGGAGCAGTAAACGAGCAACTGTGGATGAACTACTTTGGTGTTCCCACCCGTCATCTGTAACAACCAGCCAGTCATCATTGGAGAAGGGCTGAGTGACCTTTCCAGGAGAGTGAAGGAGTTTGGAGGAAGCTGGCTCAAGGAGTAATGCATCTCTAATAGAGATCAGTGAAAATTTGTCAAAAATGAGTCCGCACCAGTACCACATGACCAGTAAGGCACAGCGACTTGGGAATGATCTCGAACCAGTAATGTCTGGACTACATGGCTTCTGTTCCAAGGTAGCACCTTCCCTGATGCTTGATGTAGAATTGGTAGTGGCGGACAACTGCTGTGAAGGACATGCCTCCCACTGTACTACCGTCTAAATAACGCTGTCCTCGGGCTCAATGCCATCATTTTCATTCACAGCAATCTTTGCCTGGCATGTCATCCACTCCTGGCCTTGCCCAGCATCCCTTATTGTTGCCAAAATAGCATCTGACCATTGTCAGATTTGCGCGCCTAATGCCCTGGAAACAGTAGTTATTCCTCAGGTTGAGAGACATTCACGCAAATAAATTGTACAGGAAGACTTAGTATGTCAAAGCAAAGTTTATGGTTGTTTTCATCATCTTCCTTGAACGGGTTCATGTCTCGTTCTCCCCTGTTTCCAGAGACTCATGTGAGTAGCATCCAAGTGAACTGAGTGCCACGCCTGCCTGGCTTAGATACAGCAGTCCCTCCAGCTGTACCAGACACATTCAAATGTTACAAAAGATGTATGGATTCTGTCCTTCATTCTTTGAAGCTTCATGCAAGAATGTGCTTAAAGCTTTGCCCTTCAAAAAGAATAATGTTAGATTTAGGCGTTTTTTTAGACTGTTAGGTTTTAGATTGTGAATGATGCATTTAGGGGTTTAAATTGAAGTTGCCCTAATAATGGCTTTGCAAAACATTAAGAGTTTCTTATGTTAGGAGATGTCTCTTTATCTGAAACATGGAGACCTGAACAATATAAAAGTTTCCTATTAAAGAGCCACCTTCAAGATGTTTATTTGACCTGCTACAGCAATAGCTTTAGAGAAACGCAATTCTTGGAAAATGTTAAAACTGTTGATTGTTACTAATATCAAAAGCCTTCTCTAGTCTAATGTTTTTTGAATGTTTTCTATAGAATGTGCTGGGGTGTCAGATGTAGCCCTCAATAAACTCTTAATCAAATCTTATTTTTTTAATAGGAAAATGATAAGGGAAAATTCTACTGTTGTATTGACATTGGTCATCTGAGTGAACTATAACATCCATCTATATTGATTTGATTAATGCAAATTGCTGTTTTCCCTAGCTTTTCTTCCAATTTCTTGGATATGGAGAATCTAATAAAATATGTTGTTTTGCCAGTCTAGTAAGATTGTTAGGTCTCTGCCTGAATCCTGGTTTCTTTAAGGTAAGCAATAGTCATGTACTTCATTGGCTCCAGTCTTGTAGACCGCTGTGTCTGCTAGTTTACATTCCAGCTCACTTCATAAATCACCTGTGCTGATGCCTCATCCACTTGCTGTTTAGCTATTTCCACAAGGTTCTGGGTTTCAGGAATACTTTTTTTCTAGTGTATCGTTTTCAACAACTTCAGCATGCCTGGCGTAGGTGGTCTTTCCTCAACTTGATTGGAAGAGTTTTCTCCCTTAATCCTAATTATGTAGATCTTAATAGGTGATGAACTTAAGATAAACAGGTACAGGCGGGAGTAACCATTATGATTCCTGTTTTTATCTCGAATAATCTCAAAGCACTTTACATATAGCATGGAACTCACATCAGCCACTGCTGAAGTACAACACCAGCCTGGGATGGTGGGTCAGCCGATGAAGCAGAGAAGTGAGAAATCACTTCACCACTTGAATTAAGAGGGAACTTGAGGAAGGCCACAAGCCCAAGCTGTACAGTACAAGCCCAGAGTGAAATTTAGCTAAGACACATAGCTGTTCTTTTATCTTTAATAACCAAATAGTCCCTAGCTCAATGTAAGACAGGGAGTGAGAACACTACAACCTTATAGCCGGATCTGGCCATGTGTGATCTTTTCCTTCCTTGGAGTTCTAGTAGTTATGCAAATACCCTGTTTCTAAAAACAGCACATTATAAAAATGCAATGAATCAATCTTTATTGCATTCACTTTAATATTAAAAAATTCATAATTAAAAATTATTACACGTCACGCTGCTTTACATAGGATGCTGCATGTATGGGATGTGTTGCTTCCTTTCTGATTTCAGCTGGTGATCACAGTATAAAAGATAGGAGATAATAATAATGGTAACTAAAGGTTTTTTTTTTCTTCACAAAAATGGACATGAAGGTTATATGATTTGTCAGGATAATATTGGTCTGTTAAAATAGTACAACAGGAATTACCATCTTACAGCAAACTGTAATTGTGGCAGCATCTGAACAGCTCAGGAAAAGGCAGGGAAAGCTACAAAACTCACTTCTGAATTAAAACCTCAGTAAAATGTTATTGTGAGACAAGCTACAGTTCCAGAAGCAACTAACAGGCAGGTTTGATTTGGTGCTTAAGATAGCTAAACAAAATATGCTATTTGCCTGAGGCAGATGTTTGAAACAGTGCATGGTTGAGGCTGCTTGCCATGAACACCAAAAACATCTGAGAACAGTGGTTTTTCACAGAATAGCATTACTCGCCATGTAGACGTTATTGATGGAAGACTTAAATTTATTGTATGAAAACAAACAGCGTGGACTCGGGGGCACAAGTGCACTGTTTCATGGGTTTTCACACTGCCTGACAGGGCTCAGCCCCAGACACTGTTACAATTAGACTATCGACACAGCAGAGATGATCACTGCCCCTCTTGTCACCTGTGAGACTTTGCATGTCTTTTGGGGTTCGTTTATACTGCATTCCTAGGGGTCTGAGAAATACACGGATGTTTAAACAGTGAAACCTTTTGAGCATTTCTGAGCATTTCTTTGTTGTTATTTCAAGAGACCCTGGCAGTTAAATAGGTTTAATATTTTTTTTAAAATCTCCATTTAAAAAAAAAAAGTCAGTAAAAAAAGTGTCTTATACAATTCAGTGTTTGCTTCTTACTAGATACTGCTGGAATGCCTAGAAAGTCTTGCCTCAATTGATTTGATTGACAGTTTTTTAAAAGAATTATTATTGTTAAAATTGCAAAAGACACAAATTGCTATGCATAAGACAATACTGTTAGAAGATTTGCTTAGAAGGCCTGGAATTAATTTCTCAGAAATTAGGCTCTTAATTGTTTCTGTTCTGTGTTTCTGTTCAGCTGGAACTTGAGATAAATGTTATTATATTGTGACAAAGCTGTACAATAAAAACTGTCTGCAGATTACAAACGGAAGGTTGCTGATGAATTGGTTTGGAACTGTAATGGATTTGTCTAGCAGGAAAGGCTATCTCCAGCTAGTGAACTAATACAGAATTGTGGTTTTCTATTGTCATGATGTCAAGCAAACTCACAGTTACCTACCAAGCACAGCAGTTGGTTACTGGGAATACATCCATGTGCAATGGAATTAAAATCACTTCAGTGCATTTAATACAGTGTGAATACTTCATCATTGTATAAAGTGTATGAAATACCCTTTTCTTTCTTTTAATTTAATTTAAAATGCATCTTAAAAAGTTTAATAATGTTCTACAACTGTTGTGCTGTCATTCTGTTTTCTAGGATGGGTTACCAATCAGGAAAAATTCGTTTGCTGGATGTGGGCAGCTGCTTTAACCCATTTCTGAAGTTTGATGAATTCCTGACTGTGGGCATTGATATTGTGCCTGCTGTTGAGGTATGTGGTTCTCACAGGATTTACTCTCCAGTATAAATTAAGAGAAAAGATTTTGCTCTGACCCAGAACATTAATCTTGTGCACCGTAGTGGACAAAGTGGAGATAAATAAGGAGATCACTGGGTCTTAAAGATCTATATCTTTAATCCTTAAACAGACAAACTTAGGTAAATACCAAAAAGCTAATGAAAACCATTATTGGTGCTGCTCTTGCTAATCATCGAATGTAATCAGGATCAGCAGGTTTAGGAAACCATCCAGAGATATTAGTGAAAGGGTTGTAGTTCTTAACTGTAGGTAATCGGTCTTGTTTGACTGTCTTTATAATAATTCATACTTTGCATATGTATTTGAGTGCTCAAATACGCAACACTCAAATAAATATGCTCACTGGTACTCAACATGATAGATATTCCTGTGACGTTTTACAAAAACACAGTCTGAAAAGGAAAAGCAGCTGCAAAAAAGAATTAAATGAAAGTGTTAATTCCATCAAAGGGAAATGCTTTTTTTCCCTTTCAATCACAAAGGATGTGATTTTCCAGTTATTTTAGATACATGTTTCATATCAAAATGCCCACTGGTTATTAAACATCAGACATATTCTGGCCAGTCTGTCATACAATAGTCTTTCAGTACATAAATGTCCTGAGCATATTTGTATTTGTTGCAAAAATTAACTAATTTTATTTTATTTTAATTAATGCCAGCCTTTACTGTAGACTTCCTGTGAAACTTACATCGCCCCTTTCATAAACGCTAAATTAGAAAATAAAACTGCGTGACTGAAGCAGTCATCCATATCCTTTTGTTGTTTCACTCTTGATTAATTGGTGGCTACAGAACACTGTTGCTTATCATACAACGTTTTTAAATATTAAAAATAACATATTAAAAATAACGTCATGTGCCTCTATAGTGAGACAGAGGATTGGATTTTTTGGACAGGGAGGGTAAGATGTAAAAATGTTCTGAGCAGCATCCTGAATAACAAAAATAAGGCATGATGACCAAGGTAAATGTTCTTTTTCCAGGCTTTGGATAATTTTATTTCTTGATCAGTCGAATTTGAAGTTCAGAATTCTGGAAAAGCTTGGGACGTTAATAAGGAAATGCAGTGGGTCATGTTAAAATTTAAAATTGTATCAGTTTTCAGTAGATTTTTAAACATAATACAGTAATAAAAAAATCCTAACATAATAAAATGATATATCCCAACATAGCCTAATTTGCAGTGTATTCCTTGCCTAGATATCTGCTTTTAAAACCAAAGGTGTCTATATTTTTTGTGTAACAGCCTAATTATTTTTTTAAACCATAGCAGAATTTTTTATGCTTTTTCTTTGCATTTCAATGCTAAGAGCCTCTTAATTATATCATGTAGCTACAAGAATGGAACCCATAGCTCTCCTTCTCACGTGATAATTAAAAAGCAGACTATTAAAAGGCAAAATGAGGGGACTCTGAATATGTTGTTTCAGTTGCAAGTTCTGAGAATAATTTTATGGCAGGCATTTTAGTTAGTAAACAGTGCTGCTATTTTAATTGTCCGCTTCACACAGTTCTGTCCCACAATTTGTCTCTTCTACCGGATAACATTTCTCTCTACATTGAGAGACGCATACTGTATGAAACTAATGGGGGCGTCTGATATCAAGTGAAACAGACTAAAAGCCTTTTTAGAGTTTTAGTCTTGTTCATTACAAGAAAAGATTCCCAACCTTTCCTTGTCATTGAGCTATCAGAATAAGCTGGTAAGAATGAGAGAACTACAGTAGGATATATGTGCTTGTATGTCAAGAAATGCTGTTTATCTGTACTTTGGGTAATGAGAATGAGTGTTTTTATAATTTGTGCGTGTACAGTATGGTGCTGCAGCATATCTGCTAATAAATTATCACATGTAGTCAGTCATAAAGAAGGTGAAAAAATAAACATAAAAATAACACATTGAGTTCTAAGATTCAGAAAATGCTTCTCTCTTCATTACTGATAATGAAACAAGGTGAAGGTTGACAGTGAAGGAACCGTTTTAGCATGTTCCTCTTTGTATTTTTTGACACGTGAAATGTCAAAACAAGTTTAAAGGGAGATTAAACCCCTTTAAAATAGTTTGTTCTCTTAATAAGCTGTCAAGGCTACAGACCTGACCTTTCAGTTTTTTTGTATCGCAAGACCAGTTACAACAAAAATTCACAAAAAAGAGGAGGCCATGTGGCCCAAGTAGCTTGTTAGGTTGCCAGTATCTGATTGATCTGAGGATCACGTTCAGGCATTTCTTGAGGGAAGCCAAGGTATCTGTTTCTGTAGTATAACTGAGTAGCTTACTACAGACATCCAAAACTTCTACTTGTGTAAAAATGCCTTGTTTTGAATATACTCTTCATAGTCTCCAATTGAGTCCTCTGGTTCATGTGTCACTGTTGATTCTGAAGAAGGCCACTGTAACTGCATTATCCTGTCAGTGTAGGACATTCATTTAAAACCAGGAGTGGAACTGGCTGGCTTTCCCTGACCAACAACAGCCAACTTTTACATAGTATTCTGAGTGAGGTCATCATAGCGCCTTGGTTTAAATTCTGTGCTTTGAGCTTTGTATCTTAGCATTCTGTTCACCTTTTATTTCTCCATCACCTTGATTTGAAGATGAAAATGTCAGCATAAACACCAAAGTTCATTTTAAGTAGTTTCTTCAAGCTCAGAGATCCCCCATCTTATTTCTGTAGTAAATATTTTTGCTATCTGCATGTAACATTTTGCACTTATCTGCATTAAATGTTACATCCAGAATGCCCAGAATTAGTCTAAATATTTTTTTAGAAGTTCCTTTGTTGCTTTGGTAGCGTTTACTAATCCTATTTTGCCATAATCTGGAAAATTTCATCACTTTAGTGACTAAACAACAATCTGTAACATTGATGTAGATCAGGAAGAATAGCAGTCATCATACATATACTTTCAGCTCGATGGCATCCTCATTTCTTAATTTAGTGAAAACTCTTGATTTCTGATTAAAGTGACACAGTATTCTTTCTCTGCCAAAGTCTCACCTTTTGGCACAAATTGCCTGCTGATGGGATGATACAGTGATAGTTCAAGAAATGTGAGGAAGCATGGGTCTGCTTTGCTGTTTGCAATATTTGCAGTGCAACCTGCAACTATTCATGGCTGTTGTTGGTTTTTACTGATACCAACCTCTTGATCTACACATTCTTTTTAACAAAATAGTTATTCACGTTGTGGATAGCAGCAAATCTGTTTGTTGACTTCAGAGACAATAATGTCAAAAAGCCAAATAGGCAGTATCACTATATCCCACAACAACTACCTGCTTACATTGTCCAACAGCACAAAAACTCCTCTTGCTGTGATATTTGTTCCCCTCTGCTCATCTAATATCAGGACAGTTTCTGTAAACCTTGAATCACAATCATTGTCTCTTCAACAATTTCACCTTCTGTAAATGACTTATTGTTCCTTGTCTTGTCCTTCCTTTGAAATGCAGCTTTTTTCTTGTTTAGCTTTTTAGACCGCAGACTACTTCCATTCTGTAAAATTCTGCTCAAATTTCTTATGAACAGTAGTGAAGTGTCTCCCACATTCCCCAACAACAAAGCACACACTGCAAGTTGAACACTTGATTTCAATGCTTGTGAGCAAACCATTATTCTCAAACTCCAGATGGAGAAAGTCGGTCTTTTCCATTTTCTTTAATGAACCTGCCTTCTGTGTTCATCTTGATTCAGATAGGTATAACTTTGGCTCCTCCCAACAGACCAGCTTATAGTATTATTGTTTAGAAATTCCTACAATATTTCAAACTTTGACCTTGTTTAATATTTGCTGAAAAATTATTGGTTATATTTATGCGTTCAGATGCTTAGTTTCATAATTCTTCAGCCAATTAGGAAAAGACCTGTATGGATTCACCCTTAAATATTAATAGTAATAAACCCTACTATCTTAAATCTTATTATTATTATTTTTTAACTATTTTCATATATTGGAGTAACTAAACCAAATTCTAAAAGACCCACACTGGTACTGAGCACAAGAAGAAAGATGTCCTGACAGTATAAATCTATTTTTGTTATCACTGTTTAGTTTATCACTAAAACTTAGTGATCTGCCCTGCTTTCTTGTTTTCACCCTTACAAACACTGGGAGATCCCTGTTGCTTGCTTTCAAGTCAGGTAAATGCCTGAAGTAGATAAATGGGATAATTTGGGGATCGTGTGGTGAAGTCATTTTGCTTTGCCTTTTTGCAAGACAAATTATCAGTCATGTCTGCTGAGTTTCAAATGGCAGAGCAGATGCTCAGTTTTGCTACCTCTGTGATTACAGGGGCTTTTGGCAGAGTGTCTTATTTATGAATGCAGAATATGGCGTACACCTACCTAAATTAAAGTGTAAAGAGATTAGCTGGCCATTTTTTTCCCTGCAGTGCAAGTAAAACACACATTTTTGCCAGCTTCATCGAGATGAGATTTGAAAAATCTGGGAACCTTTAGGCATTATTCATTTTATGCATGTTGAAGATAGAGCAATGCACTCAACTTCTCGTTTCCCACAGGAAGTTTTGAAAGTCATTAATGCCACATGAGGCAAAACATCAGCTAAAATGTTCACTCAGTTAGCAGGTTTCTTTAGGCTCTACTAGAATACTGATTTTTTTCCAATGCAAATATGGTTGTTGAAATAACATGCCCAGCTGTTGTATATTGGTAGCAAGCCACATTTTAATTTACATTGAAGGTTTTTTGGCCTCTAGATAAGTTAGCAGATGAGGACTTGTTGAATCCCTACCCCAAAGAACATAGCAAGACTTAGCAATCCTCAAATTTAGCTTAGTAGTTACAAAATATATATCTTTTTGTACAACCTTTGCAGCAGAAATGTATAGGAAATAGTACCATATAGTTCTACATTGTGACACCTCACAATTAGCAATTATTTATTTCAGTGTTGTATTGTCACTATTAAGAAATCCATGAAAAAAG